GGGAGTAGTATCTTATCTTTTGACACAAAATAATGCTCAACATGAACTGACATTTACAAGGTGGTTTACTAAAATTTAAAATAAGGTCATACTTATCCATCGGTTTGTTGCTCTTCTTTTTACTTGTAACACCTCCACTGCGTTCAAGTTCCAAAGCACGCAGCTTATTTTTGTAAGCTGGTGTTTTCTTGACCATGTCAATAGCCTGAAATAAGTGCACAACTTGAGAGGAATATTATTGCTAGACTAGAAATCTTGTCTGACAATGACCTTTTAATCTTTTAAATATGATTATATACCATTAGATAATATTCAAAGTTTTAAACTATGTAATACTCCTACAGTTACTGCCGAAATTTTATGGTCCCTTTCAAGTCACCGCAAGGATTGGTACAATGGCATACAAGCTACAGTTACCCACAGAGAGCCGCATACATAATGTCTTTCATGTATCTCTCCTCAAGCCACACAAAGGACCCGTACCAGAAACCATGGGTTCCTTGCCACCACAAGATACTGTCCCAGAGGTTTTGAGGCCATCCACAGTGTTGCGCAGTCGGCTGAATCGCGGGGTAATGGAGGTGCTGGTCCAGTGGAGGTGTTGGCATGAGAAGCCCATAGAAGAAGCTTCTTGGGAAACAGTGGCGTCATTTCGCAAGGCTTATCCGGATTTTAAGCTTGAGGACAAGCTCTTTGCTAACGGGGGAGTGATGTTGTGGACTCTTTTTGGGGTCACACTTATAAACGACGCATAAATGGTCCAAGGGCCCGAGAGTCTACATCTGGAAGTGGCTGAAGTTGGGAATAGGATATAGTTTCCTAATTCTAGTTGGTTTCCTAATTATAGTTGGTTTTCTAATTATAGTTTATTTCCTTATTCTAGTTACTTAATATGGCTGAACTGGGAAACAAGGATACTGTTTCCTAATTCTATTTTTAAGTCCTGATTCTAGTCTTGTTTCTAATTATTGTTTCTTTCCTATTTAGAACTCTAAGCAGCCTCTCTATATAAAGGGGTTTTTGCTATGGAATAAAGTACGTTTTTGGAGAATTAATTTGTGCGTCTTGACAAGGTCGGGCGCCGATTAGTTTAACAAGAATAGCTTCATTAAACTCTGCTGATTATTTTTCTCGTTCCCGATTAATATCTCGAACGCATCCCTGGACTAGGGCTAGCTCTCGCCTCCTTAACAACTCCATGCAAAAATACATAGAACTCCAAAAGTACAATACACTTCTATTACTCGAACACAATTGAAGTTGTCAAGGAATTAGTAACTACAAAGTAATTTGAAGATGTCATGTGCATTGGAATGTGAAACAACACACACAATAAGAAAGATTTAATTTGCAGTCAGCAAGGGCATGTTTGGATCATATAAGATGCTACATATGAGAAAAAAAATTATTGTTGTTATTTGGTTTTACCACTAAAGTGCAAAGGGAAAATGAAATGTGATTAGTGATTTACTTTTTTTTTACATAGGTTTAGGTTTCTCAATCTTTAAGTAGAAAATAATATTCCCTCCATCCCAAAATGATTTTCATTATTTCATAGTTTACTTTTTTTATCAACACAGTTGGATTTTATTTACTTAATTAAGATATCATTTTCTAATTTGGATTTTGCAACTTTGTATAGCTTTCAATGTAGTTTCTAGATATGTAAAATATAATTAGTAAAACTTCTTTAGTTATCTGTTACCAGTAGGGAGGATTTAACTTTATCCTCAGAGTCAACCTTAAAAATCATAAATTGCAGATCAATTTGGGACGGAGGGAGTATATAAATAGGATTTGAAAACATATATTAAATCAGTTATTTTCTACACACAAAATAAAATGGTTACAAGATGACAATGCCAGGAGCACTTCATTTAAACCTTAGAGTTAGAGATCATAAAACACTAAAATGCAAACAAAACAGTGCTTAGAATCACCAGTTTATATTTCACTATTTGTAGAATATTTCATTCCAGGAGGATAATCAAGTTAAGAAATTGTGAGTTATGGCAGCGTATTATTTATTCTTCCATGCCATCAAGATGTTCTTTCCATAAGAACTGTAAAGCCACACTGTACATACTAAATAGAACTTGAAAGGCATGTGAATACCTGATTATACCTTGTCCACTGATTGAGATATTGAAATAATGAGAGAAGCAAAAGCAGGCCAACAAGGACAGCACGAGGATCCTATAAATAGGAAAATATGGAACAAAAATAGTTAAGCAGGTATTTGAAAAAAAAGAAAACTGAAAGTGTACCAGCCATAGAAGAGTACAGGAGGAAGACACTAACAGTTTTGTGGCCATAGTACGCTTGGTAGTATCGTGCTGTATTATAGAATATCTAACAGAGATAAAGCACCAGTTTAGTTTCAACAATATAATAGGCTATTTAGGCATTTACATGTATGAGAAATTAAGAATACATATGTTTCGTAGACTATAAACATTGAGAGAATCCTCAATTACTCAAACCATATCTGTTTAAAAAACAACTTTCCTATCATCAGGTAAAACCCCATCCAGGTTTTGTTTTTTTACTCCAGGGGGCGTTTGGGGGAGGGGGGCTGAGGGGCCTGGAATAATCAGGGCTGAAACTCAGTCCATTGAGTTTCGAACCCAAGACCTTCCGTAAGGGAGAGTGAGTCGGCGACCAACTGGGCTGGACCGCATCCTCAAAAGTCAAAACCCCATCCAGGTTATTTTTTTTACTGTTTACTCATTGCAAATGGAACTGTATGAAAAGAGCATGGGCAGAAGAATAATGTCTAAACATAAATTCATGAATGAACTAAAATGCATTTCAAAGAACTTGAGTGCTGAAAAATAAAACTATAATAACTCCCTCCGTCCCTAAATAAAATCCAAATTAACTGGGCAAAGAGATTAAGAAATGAAAACCGAGAGGTTGATATTTGTTAAGCAATAAACCTATTACTACACTTTTTGGTACATTTTGTGGCTATTCTCTATGGCAAGCGTCTACTAGATGATGAAAAGTTACACAACTTTTAATCATCCAATTGATACTTGCCACAAAGAAATGTGGCCACAAAATGTAGCAAAAAATTGTTTCTCTATGCTTACTCTATTTTTAGTGGAGAGAAATATTATGAACCACATTTTGGTTTCCTTGAAACAAGATGGGTGATAGGTTTGAGATGGGAACAAGAGTAGTGTGTGATCATAATTTAGGGACAAAGGGAGTATATACTTGACAGAGTACATCAATTGTATTAGTTCATATAATGGTATCATAACCAGTGCAACAAGAAAAAGCTATTAACCTCCTCTGGGTGGGCAATAGCATAGTCATACTGTTCTCTTGTAGCTTCATCTTTCAGTATCTGCAAGAAAAGATTCAGCTTATCAAGTACTACCTACTAATAATATGCTAATCATGGTACCAATCGGTTAATGAATAAAATATATGGTAAACAAGATGCATAGAAATGGATATTGGAGTGAAATAAATTATTGCTCTGTTTATTTTTAAGTGTGGCTCGATTCATTTTCATCTAACACCAGATAGTAGACACTACTGATTTTGACATCCATACTCTTCATAGAATAATGAACACCTATTTCGCTATCACTAAGTTTTCTCACCAACATGCATTTAACTGCAAAAAAATGTAGCATCTCAACTGGTAAAACTGAATAAACCTTCCCATTCTCTGCAACTCTTTATGCAACTACATTTGAGAGCTTCTATGGCATTCTACATTTTCTGAAAGTGTAAGTTTCTACTCATATTTTCCTTCAATGAAGGGACTAAGAATGAAGGGGCCGGAAACAGTTTCACTTCTCTCTTAGACTAGATCACTTTCTTCAACAACCAATAAAAAATAAAAAATATATCATCCCACAAATTTAGGGGTGCATCACTTCGGTGGTACCAAAGGTGCACAAATACTCGCAACTATTTATGCAATGCACAACTATCAGAGGGCTTACCATTGTCAAACTGTAAATAATATCAACAGGGAGTAGTAATTTTTAAAGGATTTATTAAAATATAATCACTGTCCCTACCTCATAGGCATTCGCAATTTTTACAAACTTGGCCCTTGATTCTGGATCAGGATTTTTGTCTGGATGACTAAGCAAAACAATTAAGTAAGAAACTATACCCACCTAAAGGATCACGGAGTAATAATAATGATAATGAAGAAGAAAGCTTACAATTTCAGAGAAAGCTTATAGTACGCCTTTTTAATTTCAGAGGAATTGGCATTTTGAGAGATTCTGAAAATTGAAGAGAAAAATATGAAATAATGTATATTGACAGGGTTCAAAGTAGAGGCAAGAAGAGATATAGGAATCACCCCAGGAGATCGTAGCAGTCGTCTTCGTCGCAATATATAGAGATTGAAGGCTGGATCAGAAAGAAGATAACAAGAGTGACGGTGAGCGCCCAGGTTGCTCGCCCCATTGTCGTCGTTCCCTTGTTACGTCTCGCTGGAAATGAGATTTTATTTCCAGGTCAGAAGGCTCAGCAAAAATGATGACGTTTGCACCATTAAGTTCAGGCGTGTATCCACTTTCGATGAAAATGCCAATTCTTCAAAATATTCACTTACTCATACCAAACACATTTGGATGAAGAATCACTTAGCTCACTCTTGTTAAATTGTGCATTTGGGGTTAACCACGGTTAAGGAAAGCTGCAACTCCAAGTGGCGGCTTTTGTACATCTTTACAAAAGCCGTCATTTGGAGTGGCGGCTCTTCTACATCTGTATGAAAGTCGCCACTCCAAGTGGCGGCTCTTGTGTTACCGAACCTGGTGCAACATTATTTACACAAGTAAACCTGTAATTACCAGATAATTTGCTCATCACAGACTCACAGTCTATTCCACTCAAAAAACAACCAAACATATGATTTACTAAGACAAAATACATCGAAAACACAAAACGAATCAATGAAACTACATGACAACATACATCCAAAACACAAAACGAATCAAAGAAACTAAATATTATGGAGTATGAAACTTTCACAAACCGAATCAATGTACCACAAAATTGAGTATAAACCATAAAAGTTATAATAAATCTGGTGTTTCACAAAATAATTCGATCTGCCAGTGTATGCTACAACTTTCACACAATAATTTAAATACAAAGATCATAAGTCAACGTGATCATCATCATCATGAAGTTCATGTGGCTGTGCTCGGGGACGCCTGCGCTGGTTACGAGGCTGAAGAACAACTCTATCACGTCGGACTGCCTGAGAAGACCCTGCTGCGGATGTAGATGCGGTGGAATGCTGAGAGGTGGCCATATATCCATAATCCACTCGACCCAATACATCAGCGCACAGTGAAACAATGCCTGAACAAGCGTCATGGTATCCCTGTACATCTACCGCCTCATCAAGTATAGCAATCGCTCTATCATGGATGCTACGCAAAGCCCGTGTCTGTAATGCAAACATGGTTATTAGTGAAAAACACATGAATAAATAAATAAAGATATTTCATTAACTATATTGTTTACCGTCATATGAAGAGCGACTAAGCTAGGCTGGTAATGATCAGTGGGTAAACGAAAACTGGGAGAGATAAACACCCGTGTGATGGTGTAATACCATCTCATGTAGTCTACAGAAGCTGTGGGGATTAATGATGGGATCCCGTCCACTATATACGCCGCTCTCTCATCCCATATAGTGATATATTGAATATGGCGCATCCCCCAATCTTCAGTGTGCTTCCCCCGTCTATCAATCTTGTGCAAATCCACAGATGTATCACAAGGTCCGGGAGTAACCTGCTCCAACCCGAATTGGCGTAGTACGCGATCAGGAAAGTGATGCTCCACTACATCAAAACATATCAAGGGCACACTTGCTCGCCATATCTCAGTGTGCTCTCGTGCAACAGGAGGCAACAGCCCTAGAATCTCATCAGTGTACGGCATCCACGTCATCTATAATATAAAATTATGTTAGACCGTGGTTTATAAAAACATAAAACAAAGTACTTACATTTAATGATATAAATGATATACCTGATCATCACACAAGCGATCTAAAGCATCTCGGTAATATCCTAATCCAGCAGCAGATGACGTGCGCGTGACATGAGCAAATAGCCATCTGACACATTGTAATGTATAAGAATATAAAAGGGATTCACGTACGTCATACAAAAAAAATCATAAACATACCTACGACGCAAAGGATCCTCGCCACGAACATGATGTGGGCCAAGTACAGCGTGCTGATCCATATCATCATCAAAAGGACCACCATCTACCCCATGATATCGCAGTATGACAGGTCTGCCGATACGAATGTGCTCCCATGACCATAGCTGTATGAGCAATAAAAACCCACCCATCTCTCCACCGTCACGATGGCAACCTTGACATAACTGCCGATATAGGTATGCTAAAGTCGCACTACCCCAGCTATAAACTGCAACTACATCAAAAGACTCCAGAATGGGTAAATACAGGATCTGCACCTCATTCTCGCTCTTGTCCGCAAACGTGGAAGCTCCCATAAGCATCAGAATGTAGGCTCTCGCGTACTGCTGCACAACATCGTCATCAGCATCAGCAAGTAAACCAATAAAATGCTCTCTCAACCAAGCCATCCTCAAGGCGGACCCCCGAATATCTGGGACAGGGTGTGGCCGTACTCCCAACAATCTGTGTACCAAATCAACCCACAGTCTACATGCAGTCCCAGTAACTGCCCGACCCTCGATCGGTAGACCCGCCAATACAGCCACATCTCCTAATGTGATCGTGACCTTACTCACCGGTAAATGGAACGTGTGAGTCTCCTGCCTCCAACGCTCAAGTAGAGCGGTAAGTAATGCTCTATCTATCTGCAGAGTCGAAACTAATCTGTGAACACCATAAAACCCAGCTAATCGAACGTAATGTAGAATCCTATCGTCCACCCCCGTGTGGAATATACTACGTAGGTGCTCACGACACCTATCTACCTGAACATACAGGCCACGCCACACATCCTCGCTCCGATGTGTGGCCTGCAATGTCAGGACTGAATGATCAATCGGTCCGGGATCCACTGACACCTGCATCGACGCTGTAAAAGTAATAAGTGTATTATTTATTTTATTTTATTATTAAATTAAAATTATTTATTTTTTAATATTGCTAATGCATTTGCGAATAAAAGAACAACATTACCCAGTGGAACTCCCTACGTGCCCTCCGATCTTCTAGCACATGTCGTCCTGTTATGCCCTGTTTGCTTGCATTTACCGCATCTCACAGTACCTTTAGGACCTTCATCCATTTCATTTCTCAATCGTTTAGCCTTCGGACGACCTTTAGCGCGAATCATCGACGGGTCATGCACAACTCGTGGTCCAGTGTAAGTAGGTCGATATGCTATATCTGGTATGGGCTTAAATACTCTTTTATAGGAAGCCGCATACTCCGATGAAGAAAAAAAATTTATCAACAAAAGCATCATAGGACAAACTACGGTGTCTGCATACCGCTAATATATGTGAGCAAGGAATCTTATAAATATTCAGCTTCTAACATGTGCAATGGCGACGGTGCAAATTCACCGTTTGTTTTCTGCCACCCTTCCCCACGGTTCGACCACCACGATCCGTCTCCACTTGGTATAAACCATGGCCTATGTCAAATATTGTGACCTTGTGATGCTTTGCCTTTTCCGTATTTTTCTCTATCAGTTCGGTCACTTGCTGGCAGTAGCGATGCCCTTCTGCTAATCTTCTCTTACTAGTTTCTCTTCTTTCCACAAAATAGACATTCAGACGATAAAATGATAACTCAACTAAGGCGGTTACAGGCAAGTATCGTGCACTCTTCATGACACTATTGAAAACTTCAGCCATGTTCGTTGTTGTGGTGCCATACCTGTACCCCCCGTCGTGGTGTAAAGACCACTTCTCCAGACCAATGTTCGCTAGATATTCTCGTGCTTGTGCCTGCATTTCGCATATCTTGTTAAATCCACCATCAAATTTCTTCTTTTGACGTTGACTTGCTGTCCAAATGAACAGATTCTTCAAGTGAATGTCTTTAAATGGAGTGTGCAGATTAGAAGCGACATGCCGTATGCAAAGCCTATGTCTTGCATCTGGCTCCTCCCATCCACCACCTACCTCATTAAATGCCATCATAATTCCAGCATGTCGATCTGACATAACACACTTCTCTGCGTGTGATAAAATGACGTATGCACGCCATAAACCACGGCCAACTCTCTCCATTCTCCGATTCACAGATAGCAAACGCCAAAGGGAACAGTTGATTATTAGCATCACTACCCATTGCCACCAACAATGAACCTTTATACTTCCCATATAAGTGTGTTCCATCGATGGTTAGTAAGGGACGACAATGTTTAAAGCCCTTAATGGATGGCTTAAATGCCCAAAAAACTCTTTGAAACTGCTGAACATCAGTGGTACCTGAAAGATGGAGAAAATTAGGAGGACAAATTTAAAATGAAATTTAATATGATACAATAATGATATTAATAACTCATTGGTTCCTGAAAGAGGTGGGTACCAATGCACGATTGTCCCTGGATTGGAATGTTGTAATGCCAACATGAAATGAGGCCATTCAGAATACAACGCCTTCCAATCTCCAAATATTTCACCGATAGCTTTTTGTTTAGCCAACCAACTTCGCTTGTACGAAGGTATATAGCCGTACCTTTCCTTCATAAGCTGACTAGTAGTGCGGACTTTTAGTGATGGATCGATACGAAGAAGATCAATAATTTCATGGGCTATGAACTGAGCTGTGATACCAGCATGGTCATTGTTATCGACGTTACCTACACAAGTAGGTATATGAGGACCTTCATAACGAACAACTTTGAACATATCTAGCTTCTCATGTTTCTTAGTAGCCCGGATCCGCCAAGTGCAGCCACAATCTTTTCTCCTCTTACACTCTGCCACCCATTTGTGTTTGTCAGACTCTACAACTGTGAAAAATTGGCTCCTCTTTACAGAGTATGCTCTAACCATGTTGATAAGTTGTTTCTTATCATCAAACTCTTGCCCAACCTCAAACTCACCATCTACAGAAAAGCGACTAGAAGTTGTAGAACCCTTCCATGATTCATCAAATCCCGCAGGGAGCTCATAAACTTTAGTGTAGTGGCTGGATGGAGCATTGCCACTTACGAGATCACCACCATCTTCATCTGAATCTGTTAGTGTGTCATGGTTCGCATTTTCATCTGCATCGTCGCCAGTGCACTGTGAATCCAGAAACGTTGCATCACTGTTCACGTATCTCCCATTCTCCTGTGTAACCATATTCATCACAACTGGAACACTTGTGGATGGGCAAGATAATGCCAGGTTGTGAGGTTGTATGGGCAACACAGTTGCTTCTTCAACATATATCTCCATGGTATGCATACTAATATTCTCAATTAAAGTCCACATTCCCGTAACGGCTTCGTCGTCAGCAAGAGGTATCAATAAGTACGATCCACCATGAATGGGATATTTAACCTTCAAATCCAACTTGTTCATACGATTGATGGATGTGGCGATATAAATTTTATTCATTAATTCAGCCACATCCATCCCACGGGAAACAAGAATTATCTTCTGATCCCCCCTTTCATAATGAATTCCGTTTGACTCCTCGATAATATTTCCTCCCCAATGACAAACAATGGGGAAGTTTGCAGACATATGCTACCAAAAAATCAATCCAAAAGAACTATGACGTATGTCGCTATTTGAAAATTCAACTACAATTACTTTAATTCAAACGAAATGCATTAAATCATATATATCATTTTTATTATTACATTAAATTAAAAAATAAAACAGATACATATTACGATTTCATACAATTCCATTCAAACTGTAAAAGGCTAAAAAAAATTAGAAATAACTTTGTTTGGATGGAATCCAGGTTATTTTTTTCATGTCAGAAAAAATAATTTTCAAAGCAAAATTCATGCAGCTGCTGCTATATACGACAGTAGTAGTGGTAGTATCACCAAGCACACTGAATAAAAAATACACACAGGGGGCAGAGGGGCAGAAACTGCTTAGCTGCTTATTCCTCTTAATGCTATTTGATAAAATATATTTAACAATCTAAAGCCATTAATAAACCAGTAAACAACAACAATTTCGAGCAAAGGAACAACATTTTCGAGCAAAACAACACCAATTCTAAGCAATAACAAAAAAAACCTAACTTTAGCAAAAATGGTGAAATACCTTGATTCAAACGGTTGAAAGTTGGTATAATGGAGCACAAACACTCTAGCTTACACCGTGTCTCTTTTTCCCTTTGATTTCACCTTCGTTTGGACGGAATTCGGCCGGAGCTGCAAAGGGGTCGTCGTTTTTGAGTCGCAAGCAGAGGGGCGCGTTCGAGCTTCTGTCGTCGTTCGTCGTCTGAGGAAAGGGGGTGTATTTGGGTTTTAAATGAGCCGCCACTTGAAGTGGCGGTTTTTGTATAGCAGTAGAAGAGCCGCCACTCCAAGTGGCGGCTTTTGTAAAGATGTACAAAAGCCGCCACTTGGAGTGGCGGCTTTCCTTAACCATGGTTAACCCCAGCAGTATTTCGGGAATTATTCTTAACCCGTCAGTATTTTGGGAATTATTTATTTAATTAGCATTATTCCGGGAAAAAACTCCATTTGGTAATGAGAAATGGTCCCAAATAGGACTATAACTTAGCTAATATACCTAAGAAAAAAGATTGGGGTACACACTTTTTGTACACAAAAAGTGTACACTCGTCTGTCCCCCACAGACAAATTGTCTGTCGCGAGATGAGTTGTCTGTCCCACAGACAATTTGTCTCGCGACAGACAATTTGTCTGTGGGGGACAGACGAGTGTACACTTTTTGTGTACAAAAAGTGTGTACCCCTAGCAGGATAGGACTTCAATGATTTTTATACCTAAATAGGTCTAAATTTTCCGTGCCTCCCTAAATTACCCCTGCATCCCAACACTTGAGAGAATGGTCTCGGAATATAGCTCGCTGCAATTCAACACCCATCTACCGATGTCCTCTGGAGAAGGTGAACAGGAGAAGAATGGGAGCAATCGTAGAAGATGAAGAACTAGAGAAGAAGCTGCACACTTTGAAAATAATTAGATCGACGATGAAGAAGAGACGATGGACAACGAGGAAGGTGCCGCCGGCGCCGGTGAAGATATTGCAGATCCGTTCTTTTTCCACTCCTCCTCCTCCTCTTTTTTCCCTCCTCTCGTTTTCTTCCATGGCCGCTCTTTTTTCTTTCTGCTACAGTGCTACTTCTTTCATCCGCCTCTGTTACGTTATTTTCTTCTTTTCTTCCGCTTTGTTTTTGCTTTTGGGTGCTCGTGATTCCACTTTGTTTGGTTTTTAAATGTTTTTTCAACTTGCTTTTCGAAATAGTCATGCCAGTAACAACATGTATTTGTTTTACTAGATTTACTTCCTGGTGAAGCTTCTCTTTACTACTCGTAATTGTTTTGTTCTGTTTTACGAAGTACTAAATTTCCTTTTCGAAATAGTAGAATGCAAAAGCCAAAGGAGTGTTGCTAGAAACTCCAGCTAAGACTCAAAATGATGCTCCCCATTGAAGAGCCCAATATTTCTTTTATATGGATTGACATTGTTATTAACACTATTATAATGTCCTTTTTATAGCATTGTTATTGACATGTTGCCATTGTCACGACAATTCACATGTTTTGACAATGAAATTGTCATAAAAAGACGTTGTGGTATAATGACATTATAATACATTATTTTTCCATAAAAAATATATTTTATAGATTGACATTAGTTTCAACAATTTCATTTTCATAATGATTGATATTCTTATGACATTGTCATTCCCATTCTTATGGCATTTTTATTGACATTGTCATCGTGATTATTTGGCATTACTACATTTTTTCAACGTTGGGACTTTTTCTATAAAATTAAAATTGTCATAATAGCTATTGACATTGTCATAACTACAATTACAATGTTATTTTATAGCATCGACAATGGCATTGCCATTGTGACATTTTCTTGACCTGGTGACATTTTATACATCGACATTGTCAAGATAACAATGACACTGGGGGAAGACATTGTCATTATCACAATGTCACTTTTGTAATGTTGACATTGCCATTGTCGTTTTTATGTTGTGACATTGTGTCATTATAAACATTCAATTAAGTACCTAAACTTAAAAAAAACTCAAATCAATGCAATAGAAGGTAAGCAGCATGTTTCAAAGTGAGTTTGAATAGGTGGCAAGTGGATTTCATTGTCAACATGGGAAATACTCTAGTCTTTTTTTACTTAGCAGCCCCAAAATTCCTATCCGATATTTTTCCAATATGACACTTTTATAGCCCCAAAACTCCTATCCAACATTTTTCCAATATGACACTTTTATTACTCCGTATTTCATTGTCAATTGATAATAATTTCCAAATTAATGAATGGATCCAGAATATTACTTACATTAAATGAATCTGCAAATTAATGAATGGATCCAGATTTTTTTTTCAACATTGTCATAATAATTATTGGCATTGTCATATCATGATAAATTGACATTACAACATTTTTTCAACATTGTGACTTTTTTTAATAGAATTAACATTGTCATAATAATTATTGGCATTTTCATATTTACAATGTCATTTCATAGCATCGACAATGACATTGTCATTGTGACATTTTCTTGACCTAGTGTCATTTTTATACATTGACATTTTTATGACATTGTCATTGTCATTGACATTTTCATAACATTGTCATTGTAATTACATGACAACGTCATAACATTGTCATTGTAATTACATGATCACTTGTTCCTCAAATTTAAATGTTACTAGCAGTTCTCAAATCTTAAATTTAACCAATATCCTAAATTGAGTGGGGTCCTTGGTGGGGTCCTGTGGGGACGTGGGGTAAATTGGATCATTCTTTAGATTTTTAACCTAAATCCGAATTTGGTTGGTTCTAGTATTTGCCATTCAAGTGGTGAAAGAAGTCAAAGAACTGTGTAGAAATTACTCAATAAGCATTAAATTAAAAATGCTATAATATCTCACTCCTCAATCATACGGAGTATTAAACTATTTGCCTTATTTTTTTGGTTTCTCTTTTAGCTTTATCCAACGTGCGCACAACAGCGCTCATATCGCCCGACCTTTGTTTTTTTACTTGGCGGTTTAATTAGAATAACGTACAGGAATGTTGGATCAAATTGAACAGAGACTTGTCAATTAACAAGGTTGGCCGATGATTCGAGAAGTTTAATAGCGGCTTGGCTGAGGTCCGATGTTTGTTGGTAGGAGTGCAACAGTTTCTGTCTGCAAAGTGTAGCTGGTGTGGCGTGCTCGATAAATAGGAAGGGTATTTTTGTCTCTTAAAGGAAAATTAGTCGTATACGTGGATTAAAAAAGTTCAACTCCTATTTACCTTCCGCGGGCATGTTTTAGTCTTATTGACGTCTTTTCCCCTTTGGTAATCTCTATTTTTAACCTATCCATCTTATTAGTTATTTTTTATTAATTTTTTAACTTTTAATTCGTGGACTGGACTATATAATAATAAAAATAAGTAAGATTGAGAGGCCGTTTGGCTAGGGGTGGGCGTGGGCGGTTAACCGGATTTTGGTTAACCAATTTGCGGTTAACCGAGAAATCGGTTACTATATGTTTAACACCATTATCCGTACCATAACATTCGGTTAACCGGAGATCGGTTAACCAAAATTTCGGTTAACCGTTAACCGGTTAACCAAAAACCATAAAATTACATTAGAAATTCCTTCATTTTAATTTTATTTTATACTCCGTAGTTAGGAAGTAAGTGGTAAATTATGAATTGTTATAATATGTGACTCAATATCTCAAATAGAACAAGGTCTCTCAATTTTAGTGCTATTAATTAATTAATTAAATCATTTCAATTTTATCTATTGCAGCCAGACCTATATCATCAAGATAACAAGCTAAAATCTTAATGACACATGGTAGAAAATGATTGGAGAGATCTAGCTTAATCAATGCAAGAAAAACACAGTCATTAGGTTAGATCATCTAGAAGGGCAGATTTACTTTATTGTATACGCTAATATTGGAAATAAAATTTAATTTGTTTCGACGGATGAATAATTTGGACATAGATGATGACGAACGAGTTGGCCAGATGCAGATTTGAGGGAGGATAAAAAAAGAAACGCAACGTTCTCATCGTTTTGAGCAAGAGCTGAGATCGAAGAAGAAAGGTTCCACTGTTTTGGGAGATGCGTGGTTTAACTTCGGTAAACCGATGGTTATTATTTCAAAACGGTTATGTAACCGTGAACCGTTTTTTATTTAATCGGTTAATTGTACCGTAATATTTTTAAAAAATTGGTACGGTTAACCGGAAAATTAGCGGTTTTTCAGTTTTTTCCCATGGTTACGCGGTTACGGATATTTGTGCCCACCCCTACGTTTGGCAACATCTTTTTTCAGCTTATCAGGCTTATCAGCCAACTTTTTCACTAAACACGTAACTTTACTTCGCGCGCTGAATTGTGTAATAAGCAGAAAAAGTAAGGTTAGAGTTACTTTTCTGGCTGTATTGGCTGAAGTTACTGTAGATGATCATTTTAGCTATTTTTACATATAATTTTTTCTTTATTTTATTAATAAAATATATTTTAAAAATAATTTTTACTTAAATTAGTAGAAACAACCAAAACAGCCACTTCAGTCAGAACTTCATACATTTCAGCAGAATCAGCCAAAACAACCGATTTTCGTGCTACCAAACGGGCTCTGAAATTACTTTTCTAATTGAATATTTGAATTTATAGAATTACTGTAAAAAAAACCTTTTACTGATTCTTTCATATACGTAGTAATACTTACGAGTATAAATAAATTACGTATTACGGAGTATATTATAGAGAAAAGTACAAACAACTACAAAAAATGTAATTGTGATTGGGAGCAATTACAAATAAGGGTAGGGGTTGAGATTCATTTTCTCACGAAATGAGGCATGTGTTTTCAATCCTATAGCACTCATGGAGCATCTATCTAAACTCCGTAGAAAAGATAGGGACATATCCCCTTTATATACATCCATGACGCCTTTTTTACGGCCGTTTGGGTGAAGACCCCCAGATTAAAGCTCATTCTGTCAAGGACGAACTAATTTTATATTCAGTGAATCTTGTAAATCATTTTACAAAATAAATTAGGACGTGTAAAGTATATTATTGTCATTTCACAGAATTGTGTATACCTGGAAAACAATAGAAGTGTTATGACTGTTATCTAAGAAATCGTGAATCTGCTAAGAGCATTTCCAATGGGGTGACTGTTCACATTAAAAGAATTGCTACGTCATCCGTGTTTGACATTGGCATAGAATTTTCGTTTCCAACGGAGGGTGTTCACACTCATATATTGCTGACATGTCAAAAATTAATTTAGACACTGTTTGAGTCACTGTCATCAGATAACAACACCCTCTACAGGCCGATTCAGCAGATGTGAAGCAGATAGTACCGGAAACTACTCCCACGAAGATAAACATATTTGCCAGCCAAAAATTCATTCAACCACAACCGACTTCTCTTCTTCAAAATCAAAACAGATCAACAAATGCCTACCCTGCCCCTACGAAAGCAAAAAAAAAAAGAAACTCCATCGCAATTCTCAACACATATTTCTATACAATACGGTGATGACTGGCTATGAACTCCGGATACAATTTGCTTGACTCAAGAATCCGACCAAAAACTACGAGACTTTGTTTTGTTTAAAAAAAGTGAATTGATAGTATCTGGAAACTAATCGGCAGATGCGTGGAAGTTTTAAAGATGTACACGTATAATTGTTAGATGAGCTGTTGACATTAAACATTGGAAATGATTTTTGGATTTCAATGTTATCTTAATATGAGGTGGATGACTATTCCATTTATTGAATGCCATGTGTCAAATTTCATTCCATGTTGAGGGTGTAACATTAAGAGCACCTTCAATGGTACAATGTACACGGTGCACACGTGGCATGAGAGATGACCACATAAATATTAGTAAATAAATTATTTCTCTCCTTATTTGAATGATTTTATACAGTTTTGGTAAGTTATTCTCCACAATGTCAAAGAGACCGTCTAATGTTGACATTGTTGTTGACATTGCAGGGAAAAACTTACTAAAATTATATAAAATCATTTAAATAAGGAGAGAAATAATTTATTTGTTAATAATGATGTGGCTATCACTCATGACACATGTGCACCGTGGACATTATAGCATTGAAGATGCTCTAAAGATGCTCTAATACTTATTGTTAGAAGCCAATAAGAGATTGACACATCATCAATTCATAAGTCAATTTACTAAATAAAACAATTTTACTACGGAGTATATTACTAATTTATTTGTTTTCACTTTAACAATTTTCAAAATGATACAAATAATAATAGTGACAGTTATCCAATAACCATCAAAATAATGACAGTTATCCAATTTTCAGTCCCAGACCAGACTTAAACAGACCAGACCAGACCAAACTTTCATAGTTATAAAATACACAGAGTCCAGACATTTATCAGACCAGACCAGACCAGCAAATTTCAGTCC